ATAGCCGCAAACACATTTCGTGAGAAACTATTTGTTTTTTTCAGACATGGCTGGGTTTTCTTTCAATGGAACCTGCACAGCATACAGATTTGGCAAGAAACTCTGCTCCTGTTCGACGGAAGAACCAGTCATTTACGTGACCAACTCCAGTATTTCCTACGAAACTCCTCCAAGTGTTCCTTTCAGTGAGACTCCATACATTAATATTGACCTGTGATATGACTGTGATATGAACAAAAGAGACCAAAAACCTAAATTGAATATTACTGTGTAATGAATAGGTGTGTTCCTAGACGTTAATTGATTGACCTGTGATATTGCTGTCCGATAAATATGTGAGTCCCGATAAGTGTATTGAATGACCTATGATATTACTGCGTAAATAAGTTTGTCCCGATGCATTTCTAACCCAACCCCTCACAATATGCCAAATCTCGCATATAGATCTTAAGACCTCAAAGTCTTAAGACTTTGAGTCTTTAAGACCTCAGATCCATCTCTAACCCAATGTTATACATCTCTAACCCAGCCTTCGCACGAAACCCAACCCTCCGCATAAAGATCTTTAGTCCCATTCTCGGGGTCTAAAGATCTTTCTCCCATTTAGACACTTAACACTAGAACCCATCCTCGAGTACAACCTTCGCGCAATGCTCAATCGTTGTACTTTTCCAGTCAGACCCTTGCATAAAGCCTCTCGCACCCTCGCCTGTAACTGCAAACAGAAGCTGTAAGCTGTATTATTATGCGCAAAGTGTATTATTGAGCGTGAGCGCAAGTACTTGTGTGTGCTTCCTTCAATATGTCTATATGTGTGTGAGAAGTTTGTTTTTATAAGTAAGCGTATGTGGGAGTTTGGGTCAGGACGTATTTCCGTTTAATACTCAAGTGAATGTAAGTGAGCGCGCCTTTGCAAAAATGCGCCTGACTACGTAAACGAACACATGTGTTCCTGCAAATCAGTCTTTGTTCATACTTTTACTAATGTCGTGACAGTTGGTGAATACGAGCATACGAGTACTTATATTGTGCATCAGTCGTGCATCGTGTGAACGCGCATCAGCACAGTCGAGCATGCACCCGTGTCGCGTGAACGTATGCTGTTTAAAGGTGCCTTTAGCTGCGTTTGCAGCACCAACGCCGTTGACGTTTGCTTTAGGAGTAAAGTAACTTGTTCTTAGAGACATTTTTGGGTCTGGTTGAGAGCAGCTTGATGTTGGTCATGTGAGCTTTCTGTTGGTCCAGAGCGATTTGTGTTGCTCATGAATGGGTTGGAACTTTTCTCGAGACGCTCGTGTTGGTCGCGAGCGGCTTACTGTTGGTCAAGGGAGGCTTATTGACAGTCCTGAGCGGCTTGGTGTTGGTCTTGAATGGCATAATGGTATTATTACGGCAATAAGAAGGATTCATATGAATTTTCGTGCACGTTCTGTGCTGACGCGGATAAAAGCCAAAAGACGGGTGGTGGCTTCCACTTTCTGCACTGACGCGAGTGGGGATTCATACACCAATCCATAAAAATATTACAACAACAAATAGTTTTAGACATGATACTCAAACCGTAAAGTGATATGGTACAGCCTTGGCGTACTTCATTAAACTGGTGATTGATCGCTTAAAACAGGTTTGACAGACCTCATATATCCAAGCTCTTAGTTCTTCCATTTGGCAGACTGTACGATTAGACTGTACGATTAGAAAATTGGCAAATTCTCGCTCGACTAACTAATGCGCACAACTTGCGCGGTTGGAAGGCAAGCAGGACATTCGCGGATATGTATGATGTTATGTGTTGTCGTGTACTGGCCATGCCAACCGCATTTCTCGCTAGTAGCTTACCTTTATTTATGAAATATTAAAAAAATCTTCAACAGGCGCTGCTGCTGCTCCCTACGTCAACGTCACTGTTGAGAACACCGGATTTAAGCTGTACCAGCTCGTGAATGTCGTCCAAGCTGTCTTTCAGCCAAATATTATACCGCCATCTGCCGGTAAGTTGACAATAATTCGTGATGCAATTACCATTTGCCAAATAGGACAAAATTAGTCTAGCCTCTCGCTCACGACTCCAGCTAACCTTCTCTTTCGGAATACTAGTCACTGTTAAGAAACCATCTTTTTTCTCATATTTTTTAACATGATTCGTTACTCCACACTCGATACTTCTGTGATCACGATGGCAGGGAACTAAAGCACACACTGGCCAAGGTGAAATGACTGAGTTAATTTTTTTTTAAACGAATCTCAGGTTAAGCCACAAGTCCGCGTATAATGGTGAAGTCACGCCTAGGGTGCGGTGTCGACATAAAAGAATTTTCTTCATTCTTTCCATCTTCGTGTATGACACCAGTTTTTTTAATTAAGTCGTCTTGCTTCTATTTAAAACTTAAATCGGAGTTTTATAAATAATCTTTATATTCAACGATTCAACTAACCATAATAAAATCAGTGAAGGTAATTCAACGTGCACGACAATTATAAGTTATGATCGAATATTTTTCCCGTATTATTATTAGATGACATAAATCAACATTTGAAAGACACTCGGAGCTTATTTGAAATTAAAAATATCAGTAAATACAACCATTTTCATCATCAATGAGGTCCTTGATCTCTATTATGATGTGCTCTGTATTTCTATTATTATGCGCCCTCTATCTCTATTATGATGCGTCCTTTATCACTACTATGACGAGACGCTGATCTCTATTATGATGCGTCCTTTATCACTACTATGATGAGCTCTAGTATGTGATATCTGTTATCACTGGCCGATGATGCGCGCCGTTTTATTGTTCCTACTATTACTAAAACATGTTACTCAAAGTTCTTTCTGAAGTTATTTTTGAGAGCACTCTTTATTTCTAAGGTAATTTCTTTGGCATTTTCCCGATGCAAAGTTCTGGTCACAGCTTTCTCCAAGCAACGAAGCATCCTGACCTTGACCAACCTCAAAACTGCCGACCACAGCTTGTCCCTCCAAAGATCTTAGCACCGAATTACACTAATTCATGAGTCATCAAATCCACTAATTCATTTGTTCCTGCCATGCAGTCCCAGGGGTAGCACCGAACCTCCACCTCTTTCCTCAAGACAATGGCACCTACAGAGGTGTTTTTACAGCTGAACTGGACGTGGCTTCTTGCGTCACCGACTCTCCTTGCGGAATAATTGTCCTCGTCTCCGTGACATACCCAGCTTACAACCTGCGTGAGTATCAGTTACGCAGGGTGTTCGGTATTTTTACAAAACTATAATCTACGTCAGGTTCCCTTCATTTCTCCACACTTTAGGCATTGTGGGTAAGTGCTCCGATATAGCACCTGCATATAGGCTCTATGTCCTCGCATCTATAATCCTTTTCAATTATATCGTTCATAACTGTCATTTTGCGGGTCGTTCGCGTGTGTTGCTGTCGTCATCTATCGTGCCGGATAAGTTGCTGTCGCACGTGATTTTTTTGTTGAATTAAGTGATGTTTTAATTAGACTTGTGACCCTCACCGATCAAATTTTTATCACTATTGATTTTAACGTTCGACTGGATCGTGCCGACGACCAATGGGCGCGTCAGCTGAACGATCTGCTCTCTGCCTTCGGCATGGTCTGTCACGTTAGCTTACCAACCCATGAACTTGGCGGGTTGCTGGATGTTGTCATCACGCGTACCGACATTCAGTTTCTGCCCGTTGACATCATCGAAGTCGCAATATCTGACCACCGACTACATCAGTGGATGGTGCCATGCGTTCGCCCGGCGTTGACGTACACAGCCGTCACCTGTCGCCCGCGGCGCGATCTCGACGGCGATGTTTTGAACAGGGAACTTCAGTCGTCCCTACTTGGTCGGCCGGACTCATGGGCGGAGCTGTCGGTGGATGATCTTACAAAACTCTACGACATCTAATTGACATCTTTGCTCGATGACCTCATTCCCGCACGAACTGTTCGTGTCCCCAGCGAACCTCCGACCCGTGGTTTGACGACGAATGTCGCGCCTCGAAGCGTGGTGTTCGGCTGCTCCAGCGGGCTGTCCACCGCGCGAGCAGACGTAACGATCCTGCTGCTGGGGCTAAAGCGACGTCCAACTGGCGGGAGGCGCGGCGCGCCCATGACAACCTTCTTAGATCCAAGAGGGAGTCATTCTGACGTCTAAGAGTTGACGCACAGCGCGGCGACCCTCGGGCGCTGTAGCATTCGCTGGATAGGCTCATGGAGCGAGGTCGTGCGGATGCCTCGGGAGACGTGAACGTGGAAGAATTCCATGCGTTCTTTAAAAAGAAAACTTAAGCTGTACGCGCGTCGTCGGCCGATGCTTCCGCGGCAACCTTTACGCCATGCTCCTACAACTGTGTGCTACGCGAGTTCACCTGCGTCACAGCGGATGAGGACACCGCTGCGGTGCGCGCGCTGCCTAACAAGCAGTGCGCCAGTGACCTGCTGCCGTCGCAACTACTTAGGGAGAATGTTGCCAGCCTAGCAACATTTATGGTTGAACTGTTCCACCGCTCCCTCGCTGACGGCGTTGTCCCTGAGAACTTCAAATCCGCTTACATCACGCCGCTTCTCAAAAAACCGGACCTCGACGCATCAGACCCAAATTCGTATCGACCCATCTCCAACCTGTCGATTTTATCGAAACTTCTCAAGCGCGTTGTGGCCCGGCAGCTAAATAACTACCTTCATAAGTCCGGTCTCATGCCTCGGCTCCAGTCTGCATACCGTCGTCACCACTTGACGGAGACCGCCATGATGAAGGTTCTTTCGGATATTCTGCAGGCGGTCGACCGCGGCAGCATTGCGGCACTGGCTTTATTCGATCTTTCCGCTGCATTTGACACGGTCGACCACGCCACCTTGTTGCGTCGGCTAGACGTATCGTATGGCCTGCTGCAGTGGTTAGAGTCTTACCTCAACAATATAGACTCCAATGTGTTCGTCGCGGGCTCTCCTCTTCTACCCCATCGACGGTCACCTGCGGCGTACCACAGGGGTCGGTCCTCGGCCCAATCCTCTTCCTGCTATTTACTGCCGACGTGTTGCACATAATTGATTCACACAGCTTGAATCCGCACATGTTTGCCGACGACACCCAAATCTATTGCTACTGTGCGCCAGCAGACGCTGCAGCGCTGCAAGACCGGATGTCTGCCTGCATGGACGCCGTTTCAGACTGGATGCGTTCAAACCGGCTCCAGCTCAATGCATCGAAAACTGAATTTATTTGGTTCGCGACCGCTCGGCGCCAACATCAGCTTCCAGCCAACCTTGTGCGCGTGGGCGACGAGTTCGTCGCACCTGCATCCTCTGTGCGCAGCCTCGGCATTCAGCTGTACTCAGAACTATCTATGAACAACCACATTGCCAAAGTAACCGCTGCTTGTTTTGGCATCCTGCGGCGAATTCGTAGCGTCAGTCGCTGTCTCTCGAGGCCGGTCCTCGAGGCCATCATGGTGGCGCTTGTTCTGACCAGACTGGACTATGGCAATGCCACACTCTACGGACTTCCCATCACGGCACTTAACAAACTGCAATTCGTAATGAAAGCTGCCGCGCGACTCGTTTGTGTCCGGCGGAAATTCGACCACGTGACACCGATTTTGCGTGACCTTTACTGGCTGCGCATCCAGCAGCGCACGCAGTTTAAAGTCGCTGTTCTAACGTTCCGCTGCCTCCATGGTTTAGCAAGACCTTATCTCGCTGAAGGCCTACGGCGCGTTCCTCGTAGAAGGCTGACCTCGTCGTCCCGTCCTCACGTCAGCCCACCGTCGGCGACAGAGCGTTCCCGGTCGCTGCGGCCAGAACATGGAATGATCTACCAGCTTCGGTGACATCTGCTTCTTCGCTGCCGTTGTTTCGTCGACGCCTAAAAACATAACTTTTCCGTAGAGTCTTTGAATCTTAGACCTAGCCGTCATCTAATCTATTATGTATATTACTAGTTTAGCATAGGTGTTGTTTGTTCTAGCATAGACGTCGTCAGTCTTGGCATATGTCATTTGTTTTAGCATAGACGTCATCTGTTTTTATCCTCTCGTGTCTTTTTTAGCCACTTGTAACATGCCCTCGAAGTTCGATCTGAACGAGACGCCACGACAATCTCTTCGTGGAATAATAATAATAATAACTACCATATAACTTATAACTGATCAAATATATAATTGATAACTACTATGTAATTGAAAATCGATCCCATATATAATTGATAGTCGTTGTCGTATTATTTTAGCCGCCAAAAACAGAACAAGTTCAGTTCTCTCAGAAATAAACACTTAAAGCTCTTACAACCACGATACTTTCAGCTCTGGAATGTGCTGAGTTGTGCTGCCCTAGCCGGTGGTAATAAACTCACTAACCGAGCTCGTTCTAAGGGATTGCATTAAGTTTATTTACATGTATTTGCTGATATTATAATCACTTTCTTCTGCACCGTGCAGTAGAAATATTTTCGGGAAATTTTTTCGGTATGAAATTTTCCACCATGCTGAATAATGCATACCGTGGCGGCAAATATTGTACCAAAAAGCTTACGTCGTTTACAGTAAAATGTTGATTGTTATAAAATAAATAATGATTCCCCTGTTGATATGATTTATATTTTTTATAGCAGGTTTTGCTCATTGGGGATCTGAAAACCTTATGGCAACTTCTAAGCATGAAATTGTGCTTAAGTCTACATGCCATGTACATATATAGTAAGAAAATTCTTAATTTTTTTTATCGCCATGCCCTGATTATCAATTACAATGATTGATCATTCAAGTAATGTAATTGCTTATTTCATTCATTAAAAATTAATTATTCCCTTCAATATGTTTTATGTTCGTGTCACCACTTCAGTGTGTAAATGAAAATAATAATCTTAACTAAATTAAAATGTAATAATAATCAGTTCTGTGCCATTATATACCTATACGTCACATCTACATTGTTTAGCGTCATGCGCGCTACACTACGCGGCATTGAGAGCATTCGGTGAGGTTGGTATGCCAGATAATTACTTTGATGTGTCCTTGCTTGGCCACAGCCGATACCTGACGATGTGAGTCAACACGAGGCGATGCAATCGTTATACCAAACCGTTTCATTATAACATATTTTACTTGTGCTTACTGAAGTGAGATGAAGCGCTGCCAAGTGATCAACGATACGTTGTGCTCAGTGACCAGGCTTAACGATAGTCGTGAGCAGCAAACTTAGCCTAAATTTCTTTTCCTTTTCCATGCCACATGAAAGGATCAATACATTGTACTCAGTCACTTTTAAGATCATTCCACTAATTTTTCTCCGCAGTGAACGAATGCGGCAGGACCATTGAACTTACGGCTGACCTCTCCAAGGCTGTCAACGTTTATGTGTACTCACACCCTGGATTCGGGTGCAAGGCATTCCCCGACGGTCCGACCTACAACTGCACCGTTACTTTCACATCAACCTTTTCTAATTTTGGGTATCAATTTTTTGGAAAAAAATTCGATACTGCCACTGCCTGCGACGGCTACTCGCTGCGCGTTACTGACGGTACCAAGCTCGACGCAGATATGTGCACTGATAACGTGGTCAGTGAAAGGGAGGGTTTTTGGTGTCCGTGTCTATCTTGGTTTTCTTTTATTAGGTTTATGATTTTTTTCAGAAGAGATATGACATATTGATTTGAGAAATAGTGCACCGACGCCTTGAATTAAACTTATTCATCGTAACTCCCAGAGGGTCCTTCGGCACTTCAGTCCTAGTTTCGGTTCAACTTAATAATTTAACTCCACTAAATCAGCACGAGGAAGTCCATTTCTTCAGCCTCCATGCAATCAAACTCAATCGAGCCGAATTGAATAATTTTTTTTATTTTCATACCATAATTATCGTCGGTAAATACAAAGATTATTATAATTTATTTAATTCCTCTATAATTGATAATTTTACTGCAAACTATAATATCAAAATATTGCATATAGCGCTTACTGGGTGTGAACTGCAGACCTAATGATCATTTACCAGAGCTGACTTTTTATTGAGGACAATAAAACAGTGTCGCCCTAAACACGACTTAATGTGACTGTTTTCCGCAGGGCGGAAAAGGCAATACAACATTCACTCTGCAAGGCCAGGCGCTGGCCAAGACCTTCAAGGCGGGGTTCTACTTGAGATTCGCGAAGTAATTGTGCCCCGTTTACCCCATCGCCACCCAACGCGTCCCCCCATCACAGCAAAATCACATACATGATCACGGCAGCCTTCACCTCGAGCGGGGGATTACAATTCCACGCAAACTAGAATTTATATTCTTCTGAAGTCATATTTTGAAGTTATTTGTTGTGACTGCGTGTCAGAAAGGGATGTGACCGCACCTCAGAGAGGGATGTCACTTAGAGGCAGAGGTAATATGAACTGCAATTGAAAAAAATCAGAAATAATCAGAAATACCTCATAGAAAATGATCGGGCCGCTGGACTTTTGGCAATGCTGGACTTGCCAACCTTGAAGACGTTATGTGATGCCGCGCACGAGTGCTGTTACTTTAGCTGTGTGAAGTGGTGATGCCACGCACGAGTGCTGTTACCTTAGCTGTGTGAAGTGGTGATGCCACGCACAAGTGCTGTTACTTTAGCTGTGTGAAGTGGTGATGCCACGCACGAGTGCTGTTACTTTAGCTGTGTGAAGTGGTGATGCCACGCACGAGTGCTGTTACTTTAGCTGTGAGAAGTGGTGATGCCACGCACGAGTGCTGTTACTTTAGCTGTGTGAAGTGAGGCTGCCTCTTACAGATGAAGCAATAGTTCCTAAGTTTTTCCCGAGCTCGCATAGATAAGGATTCCTAATTTTTCATAAAACATGCGTCGGATTGAAATCCTATAGGATCCTATTCGAAGTAAACATAAAATGTAATAAGTGTAGATCTCTTCGCAACATATTGAAGATGATTGAAGTTTTTAGGAGAAGTTCTCGTTATTCGTTCTGTGTTTGGTTTAGATTTACGTTGTCAAAATTAACAAGCTACCATGTCTGCTGTTGTGTCGCTCCATTGATTCTAAAATATATACCACATAAGGCACAGCTTGTGTACTGAGTGGGTTTTCTTAAAGTTAGGCACAGGTTTTGTGTGTGTTTGATACGAGCGAAATGCTGTATGAATTGATTCGACCTAGACAATAGACAATTGTGTTTGGTTAAAATTCCAGCGTTTAGTTTAAATTTTTCCCCTGCGGTCCCCGCTTTGGGTCTAAATTCCCTAAATTTGATCGTTTACTTGGTCGTAATGAGCACATTATTTTACATTATTTACATTATTTTGCATTATTATTTTACATACCGCAATTGTGCATTATTTTACATTATTTTATGTTATGGGCCAGTTGCTGCTCATGAATGCACAGCCAATAAGAGTTTAATTAACTCCCTCCTTCCGTGCCCTGGTATTCACCAGCACCTTCCTGATGCCCGCTTTTAAACAAATCAGGCGGCGCATTATTCGCGTACTCATGTCTTACTCGCCACACGTTTTATGTAACCGAGTCGTACCCGACGAGAATTCTACTCATCTGGCACTTATCTCTTATGTTGCTTTAGGTCTCACATTATATTCGTGACAGCAATAAATGCGTTCAATTCATAAGCCTTTTTATCCCCTGCTCAAACATTCCCGAACAAGACACGTTGCCGATGAAGACATGGAATCGTTCTTAACTTCACGTCTATTTCGTGTAATGTTTGATCATCATGTGATCTGGTGAGATCAAGTGATCTGGGTGGCCAGAAGTGAAGAGCCAGATCTTCGTCTATGCGATAAATACTGTTTAGCTACCGTTTAGATGTTTGCCGTACTCTTATTGCACATCTATATATATATGTAAAAAAAACTTTAGATCTTCCACTTTTCATTGGTGTAGGAATTATTCATTGTGAGGTCATACTTAAAGCAATATAAATTTATTAAATTTGGTCCATTATTTAGAATAACCCTATACATTGGTTCAAGTTAATGACATTTATCATTGTTTATAATGGCATAGATGGAGAACACATCACGTTAGTTCCTGGCAATGAAGCGCGAGATCGAGTATCCCCCAAAAAATTTATTTGTAGGTGGAGCGGTTGCGAACTGCTAACGCTACAAATGGAGAATAGCTGAGGGGCATCCGGTGTGTCAATCCCGTTCCTTTATCGTGAAGATGGCCACTTCTGCCATAAATCTGATAAATCTGATTTGTGATACGTCGATATATTGTCTGTGTGGCGTCTATAAACCATAGGATACCGCCTCCGAGCAATACATTTTGAAAGTGCTTCTTTCAGTACAGCCGAGACCAACCCGCATCAAGTCCTCTCTGGTGACTTGATGTAGAGATGAGAAGTTCGAATCTTATGGCCGTTCTACAGCTGAGATCAACGGCCGTGAGATTCGAACTTCTCATCTCTACATCAAGTCACCAGAGAGACGAGTGGAATTTGTCGTTTGAATTACTGCCAATCCAATTGGTTTGCTGCTCACTTAACACGTTGGCCGCGATGTGCGCCATATATGTACACGCTGTACTTCTCAGAATCGCGATGTGTACCTTGCTATCTGCCGGGTAACTGAAGATATACAAGTTTGAACCTATCGCCCGTACGGCATTCGGGCCAAATCAGCAATCGCGGCCAACGTGTTAATTAATCAGATGAACCGTTCAAAAAAATGACAACATGGTTTATGAACTCTCGAAAATTGTTATGGTCTTTCTACCAATGTATATTGTTGTCTAGAAAGAATCTCAGTTAAGTCATTTAATTTAATGGACTTAATCGGTTCATAGTTTCCATTTCTCAATAACGCATTACCTTGAACTCACTAGTCAGCGCGTTCACTGCGGGTACATAGCGGATGCAATGACATTATACTGGATATTAAATTTTTTATTCTCTATGCTGACTCACCATACAGCAGCAGTCCCAAACGAAGAGCTTTCACTGTCTGTTATGGACGGTCGAGAAATCTTAGAAAAAGCTTCCTAATTCTTTCATTCATTTCATTTTTTACGACTTATGGTCCATCAAGAAGGTTCAACTTAATAGGCCCTGTGTCGCCCCAGAGTACGAATAATGTGTTGTGAACACCAATAATGAGACTGTGTGATTCAACAATAACACTCATTTATAGTCTTTTCTATAGCTAGTTTCCTATTATGATTTACATGCGAAGAAAAATGAGGATTTCGAAAATTTCGCACTAATATACTACATACAAAATATATAATAGTTATAGTAATCAACAATTATTTTATATATTAATAGTAATAATCGGCTAAATCAATATGTATTTTTATTTACTACATTATATGAGAATAAACAAATTAATGTACTCAAAACCCACCTTGAAGTTATATATTTCCTTCTCAATGAGTTTGTAGTCGGCCGTGACGATAGTGCCACAGGGCTCAATGCGCAACATCAGCCCCATAGTCCCGGTGAAGTCTTGGATGTAGCGCTGCATCAGTGCGTCAGGAAGCTCCTCGGCGTACCGCCCGCCACTCAGCTTAATCTTGCTCGACATTTCCAGCTGCATTTGCAATTAAAAGAATTCGAGTGCGAATCAAGAAAACATAAGGGGAGCATATCGGTCAAAACTGACTGTTTTTGCTTTTCCGGTTTTTAGTCTCATCTTAAAGCTGACGTTCTGAGCTATCCAACGGTACTAAAACCATCTCTGTATGTTGATTTATGCGTTTAGGACAGATCCCGCAAGGGAGGGAGGTGGGGGGGGGTCTTTAACAAATAACATAGGAGCAAATTCGCTGCCGAGCATATAAATAGAGTCTATACTCGGGCTGCAGCTCAGCCACACCCCTGTCGTTGAATGGGGAGGTGTGCATGTAGTCGCTCCCACCATCCTTGACTGGAATCGATCTCCAGTCTCCAGTAACGCTTAGTTTTGTATGTTTGCTACATTGAGTGCCTATGCGAGGCGCGCGGGACTTTGTCGCGCCCTCCTGAACATTCACACTTTTTGTCACGGCAAACCTATCTCCTCCTAGAGTTTTGCAGCTACATCGATGAGACATATACCATTCGATTCGTAATGAAAAGATCTAGAGATTGTCGAGCCATTTTTTTTATTTCATTCTAGTTTGGATTATAGAATGCAAAATGGGGGGGGGAATTGGGGGAAATTTCGAAAATTCAAATTTTTTTTCAGAAAAATCATCATAACAAGAGAACCAAGAAAAATTGAAAAAGTGGCTTGACAATCTCTAGATATTGTCTTTACAAATCGAATGATACGTGTCTCGATGTTGTAGCACGATATTTGTAGGAGGACATAGATTTTCTAAAGTACCCCCTTTTTGGCCGATTTCTATGAATTTCACGTTTTCTTTCATTTTTTCGAAAAATTCACATGAACAAAATAGTCGTCATTTTTGATTATATATATGTGTACCAAGTTTGGAGATGATCTTTCCGTAAATATAGAAAATAGATTTTGACCGATATGCTCCCCTTAAGTCATCACTTTTGATCTCCGATTATTTTTATATCATAGAAGATATTAGTAAATATTTTTACGACAAACTTGATTTATTTGATGATTTTCCGCAACCAAATTTTGAACCCAAATTTGTTATTTGATCAATTCACTTGACTTCTCAAATGTTTAATTTTGATCAATTTACTCGACCTATCATTTATGGTTGTAATCACGACTTAATTTTAAATTCACTAGTGTAATATCGTTCACTTTTACTTGTAGTGATGTTGAATCTTGCTATTAACTTGTATCTTTTTTGTCATGTGAGATTCTACAGGGTTTCCATGAGACAATTGGAAATGATGATGTTTTGTGTAATTTCTACTGAGCAGCACAATGAAGAACCATAATGAAATTGATATATTTTATGAAGACTTTGTGAGGGCACTTTGTTTTTGGCAAATTGATTGAATACTACATTGGTCACATTTTTACTCAAATACCTTTGTAGTTCGTATACGTGAAAATGTAAACACTATATCGGAAATTATGCTAAATGTAAATTAATTTTTATCGTCTTTTTCTGTGTTATTCAAAAATGATAAACACTATAGAAACGCTAATCGAGCCGGAATCTCAAGTGCTCTAGGGGCAAAATCACTTTAATTTTCCATGTTGCAGCGAATAAATTCATAACGATTTTCCTCCCGTACGTGCAATGAACGCGCTATGGACCGCCTGGCCAAGCACAATTAACACTCCATGTATAATTCACGCTGAGAACCATCGTAAAAGTCCATGGGCTTGGGGATGAAGCAAGTATTGATCGACATCATATTTTATTTGACCGATAACTAGAAGCCATTTTTTAGCTCCTAGCCCAACTAATTTATGTAGTAAAGGAATGACACTAAATAAGCATGCATTCTAAAATTCGCAAATCAAATTAGAAGCTAAAATATTACAGTCACTATCGCGTATGCGCACATTGCACTGCACCCCCTACACCGAAACAAATCGGTGCGTTAGTTGAAGACATCTCAACTGGCTAAAACGCTCAATGGAGTCACCTGCCGAAGACCACCACTGCCCTGGATGTAATGGGCCATCA